CAAGGTTAGCACCCAAACAAAGCAAAAAGTCAGAACTCTTCCACTCTGATTCTTGGGGAAGTCTAATGATTTTAAGTCGATGTTCAATTCTTTCACAATACTCTATCCAAAGTCATAGTGTGCATAGTTGCCATGGCCTGGAATAAGGACATACCCTTTTTGGAGTTTTGGATCGTGTTTATTCACAGATTCTTGAAAAAAGGAACCAAGGAGCATGTAGTACTAACTTGTTTCTTATTACCAAATAAGGAAAGCGCTACTTTAAGCACTGAGAACTAGTTCAGTCAATCAGTCAATGTAAATTTTATACAAAGTAAAGGTGTGAACGAAGAGTGCGTCCGAGTGATCAGTAGTATTAGTTTAATTTAATGAGAAGAACTACCAAATGCATATTAGTATTAGAAGTGTTCAGTTCCTATAATGTAATCTAAAACTTACACAAACAATGTCTGAATCTTTTCCTGCTCCGACGATAAGACTGATTGATGTCTTAGAAGAAAGTAGTCTACAGTTAGGGTTTGAGCGTCAACTATATCTTCAAACTCTCGAACTAGCTTGTTTCATTCTATATCATATTGTGCACAGTTCATAAAAAAATGTTCAACAGTTTCTCTATCAATTAATCAATTTTATTTTAGTCCATGATCTTAATAAAATGAGAGGGTAATAACAAAAGTTCAACAAAGAACTTGTTTAGGTCATCCCCAGTAAAAAAGAAAAAAAAGAAAAGAAGTTTGAACAATAGAATAAGCTTGTAAGCGTTGCTTCTACGAAGCAAAAATGTGAAAACATCCTATTGAACTGTTGGACTATAGCATAGAAGATGTATAAATAGAAGGAAGTTAAATAAGAATAGTAGCGCGCGAGTGAAACTTCTAATTAATAGCTATTTTTCTGTTCATATGGAAAGACATGATAATAATTTTTTGTGTGTAGCACCATTGTGTGCAGCACCATCAGATCAATAGTGCACTGTCTATTACTAGTCGATTCAGTAGCTGTAAACACCAGATTTATATTGAAATTTGATCAATCGCAATCTCACGCCAAAAGTTTTCAACTACTGGAAATTGTGTTTACAGCTACTGACAAAAAACCCTCTGAAAACCGTAAAAGTCCTCGTATATAAACTTTATACTACATACTTCCTTTTACGGACAAGCCCTAGGAAGTTTTCACAAAAATGGCACAGTCAAATAGAATATGGCTTAGTTTGCGCCATTAACTACTCTAAGGACAAGATGTTTCTTTAATGCTCTTTAAAAAGCTCGAGCACTAAAGGCAGCAATCACTTCTCTTGATAATTGATTCCACTCTTTTATAGTTTTTGGTAAAAAAGGAGATCTAGTAGTCTAGTAGTCTTACGTTTTAACAAGGTAGCCTGCCAAAGACATCGATTAGAGGTTCTAGTGGTAAGAGGCTGTACTAACGAAAAGCACGAAAGTGCACTACGTCCTGTAATAATTTTGTAAAAGAAAGTTAACCTGAAAAATTTTCTTCTTTGAGCAAGATCTGGTAGTTTTAAGTAGTTGATCAAAGAGGAACTTTTGAAAAGAGAGTAAATTCCTGACTACAAAACTGAGAGTAATTGTCTTAGTCTGAAAATACGAGTAAACGCTTTATTCTGTGGAATATTCTCGTAAGCCAAAGACCTAATTTTCGGAGTAAGAAAATCCTGATTTCGGGGTAAATTTTGTCAAAAAGCAGGAGGGAGGATTCCTCCCATTCCCCTTTCCCCCTTATTGAAGCGCCCCTTGTCGGACCTGTAGTCATTTGTTATCATACGGACAGCGAGTTGATTGATGTTAGTAAATCGAGATGCGTTTTGAAATCATTGTCAAATAATCCATTACTGGCAAAATACAGATTTTATGAATATACAGTCGAATAAAAGTAGGAGCAGATCAGAGTATTCGATTCATAGCGCACCTCCTAGCTGTATTTTCAAGATGAAATTTCAGTGTGAGATCTGATGAAAGATAAACTCCTAGCAATTTTATATTTTTTTCGACCATTAGTTGCTTCTCACTTAATAAAAGAGATGGGAAATGCTCCGGTGGTTTTTGATTAGAAAGCGGCATGTAGCAGCATTTATCGGTATTTAACTTTATCTCGTTTTCTATCATGATCGTTGAATGTTCAACTATTTTTAGAGTTTAAAAGGAATCCTGAAATAAAGAGACTGTAATCATTTTCTTCGTCCCAGCAACTGATTTTTTAGATTAAAGATGATTTCAAAGTATAAATTCAAACTAGTGTAGTTACATGCTAATGAAAGAATGAAACTTTCTCTCTCGTTCTTCTTCGAATTTCGTTTTCAATTTATTTCTCTTAAATCTATCTTTTGAAGGAACCAAAATTACAACGAATGTGATGTGGTGAATTCGCTATTGACTGCCATAAGCCATACAAGTAGAACTAAAATATCTTTTGGGCTTAGAAACTTTTCTTACATTTATAAGAGTTGATTGTTCGGCGCCATTTGTTCTTAAGAGGAAATATCAAATAAATATATCTGTATTGATTTGATTTACTCAATATATATAAATATTTATATATATTGAGTAAATCAAAGCAAAAATGCAATGCTCATAGCCTAGAGGTGGAATCTGCTTGGAGCGGTAGGTTCATTCAGAAACAGAGTCTGTCGACAGCGCAACTTGTGCTCAGCGCAATTGCATTCTAGTTTATTTTCTTCTTTCGTCCGTTTTTTGGGCAAAATGTGTACATCGTGATCTAGAGAACTATGAAAGCTAGAAAAGTTCTGGAAAGGGTAGGATAGTCTCCCGACATTGGAGATTGATAAACGCACATTTTGCTCCCAAATAAAGAGAACCTTATTCGACGCCATAAGCGCAACAAGTGAAAGAAAACCGTATTTTGAACTTCGAAATTTGCCGCATATTCAGTTGTCCGGCGCCATTTGCTCTTAAGATGAAAAATAATTCTATCTTTCTTCTTTAAATTTCGTTTTCATTTCATTTTTTCTTGAATCTATCTTCTAAAGCAACTAAATCACAACGAAGGTGATGTGGTAAACTCACTATTTACGCTTCTAGCAGATTCAGATTGGATATAGTATGTCGAAATCGTAACTTGTGCGCAGCGCAATTGCTCTCTAGTTCTTTCTGCTAAAATATTACTTAACTTAGTTATTATATGTAAATTAGCAACGTCAACTGTTGCTAATTTAATGAGAAGAACTACCAAATGCACATTAGTATTAGAAGTGTTCAGTTCCTATAATGTAATCTAAAACTTACACAAGCAATGTCTGAATCTTTTCCTGCTCCTACGATAAGACTGATTGATGTCTTAGAAGAAAGTAGTCTACAGTTAGGGTTTGAGCGTCAACTAACTATCGAAACTCTCGAACTAGCCTGTTTCATTCTCTATCATATTGTGCGCAGTCCATAAAAAAATGTTCAGCGGTTTCTCTATGAAAACCAAAAGCACAACCAGACGAGGATTCAAGATTCCGTTTGAAAAGATCATGTAGTTGACAGAAATCTATTTCAAAACGTGTAAAATGAATTTCTACCATCCTGTTTACAGGGTGTTGCATAACCTTTTTCCAGGGAGTAACAACGTGATTTTAAAGTAGGTACCTAATGAATTTTATACCAAATGAAAGCCCGTAAAAAACTGGATCTAGGACTATAGTTAACAATTCAATAGATGCAGATAGTCAATCCAAATTTTAGACGTATAAGTATGCACTATTTTTTTTCTTAATTAATGTGGGTTATCAAAGATAATGGTGCATCATGGGATAGAACTTATTATCGACACCGTATTTCGACAGAAGAAGTAATTCCATTCCTTTCGAACTCCGAAAATGTATTGGATCCAGCAGAAGTCGTTTATCTTCATGGCAACCCTCCGTGTCACAAAACAAATACCACTCAGCAATTGCTCAAAAACTCTTGAATCGATTTCTTTGACCGAACAGAATGGCCAAGCAGTTCTCCAGACCTGACTGTGGCGGAAAATGTTGGATCAATTCTAATGGACAAAGTAGAAAGTCTGATGATCAACGAACGCGGTCCGACAAATTCTTCAGTCGTTTTGCTTGAACATCTTCAAAATGTTCTTCATGAACTTGAAAATGAAAAAGAACTTTTCGAAAGTCTATTGAAAATCGTATCCTCAGCGATTAAAAGCTGTACGTGAAGCCAACGGCGGTCACACTAGATATTGATGTATCATATAAAAGGTTCGCTTGATATATCATTTGTAACTGAACCACATTTACTTGATACTTTATTTTCTTCGCAAGAAAGTAACCACAATCTTGTACATTTATAACTTGAATTGACTGTCTGCATCTATTGAATTGTTAACTATAGTCCTAGATCCAGTTTTTTACGGGCTTTCATTTGGTATAAAATTCATTAGGTACCTACTTTAAAATCACGTCGTTACCCCTCTGGAAAAGGTTATGCAACATCCTGTATAGGATGGAAAATGAAAAATTGTTGTGAAATAGAGTATAAACGAGTGAGTGACTACCAATGAATTAGATATCGTAGTAGAGATGGTTTTTGCTATAGTAAAAACATTTTATTATCCGTTTTCTTAGCGAAATTTATTATACAGTTTTGAAGAAAAGAATATGGTAGTTGTATTTTTCATTATTTTAGGATACAGACAAGAATGAATTTGGCACATCTCCTTATCATAATCGTAGCGTAGATCAAATAACGGCGTCATGGCAAAGCACATTTCCAAATGGTGATTATCGGACTGGCACTAAGGGCAATATAGCGTACGATCAACTGCCTCGACGTGGTAAACATAAAAGAAAAAGTATATTTTTTATTATGGTTTGATATTTTTGTTCTACATCGTAGATCCTGATACCATACTACGAATTGCAGAATATCAGGCAATGGTACGAGTAACGTATAACGTTTTATCTATTTAAGAATTAACTTTCGTTACCTTGACAGGTTTACTGTAAATCCAATCAACCGGGTGATTTATCTCCAATAACGAATATGGCATCGAAAAATCTACGAGTGGGACAATTTCAAATAGAAGCAACAGGGTATGATAGAAAAAAGGTCTTATTCTGGTATTTAGCATCGAATCAAGCACAACAATCGATGTATCTTGTTCATCGAGGAACATCAAAGAATAATCCAGATGACGTTTTAGATGATTTAGATCCGGAAGAATTAGGAACAACGAATCCATCGGTTAAAAACGACTTTCCCTATTTATCATCTAACGCGAAACATTTGTTTGTTGCCCAAGGCTTTCATTCGAGATTTAAAAATCAACAGGTGCCAATCACAGCTGCTGTTCGATTAGCATTGAAAAAATATCCGTCTTTTTCGTTCGTTGTTATTGGACACTCGCTCGGAGCAGCATGGGCTTTTTTAGATGCGGGCTATTTTGTTAGTTTATCGGACATAAATGCTCGCATGACTGCCATTTATACGTTTGGTCAACCCTTACTCGGTTCATCTACCTTTGTCGATGGTGTGAGTCAACAACTGGGCGATCGTTACGTTCGAATTGTAAATAAAAATGATCTCATTCCACATATTGGATGCTTGCAATGTGTTCAGCCATTGTATATCGTTGAGAAATGGATCCAATACATTGTACCTGATACTGTTATACCGACATGGATCGATTGTACGGGTGGTGACGATCTATCTTGTAGTGCCGGACTGCCATGTAAAGTATTGTCTTGGTCAAACCATAGTGCCGTAGGTAGCTTTTCTATGAGAGGAGAATTCTGTAATATTAGAAGTAATCAATGAGTTAATTTCTTAACTTTCTCGGACAGCGTTTATTTTGGAGACTTTTCCAGTTTATTTGTGTAATAAATGTATTAACCTTAGAGATTTTAAGTAAAGAAGAAAATTCAGCGCTTAAATTGATTTTACTGACCTGATATACGAAAGAAAAAGCATGTTAGATCTGAATATTTTATATGATGATTTTATACGCACAATAAAGATAAGTAGAGAAATGAAAACACTAATGAAAAGGTTTTGTCCCTAAAACAATTTCAACTTTATATTTCAGATGAAACGTGGAAATTACATTAATTGTCTGTGTGTTCGATAGAAACCACCTCTTCATCTGGATTCGTAATCGTCCTATATTTCCCATATTTATGAAAGTGATCCTATATTGTCCTATATTTCAGACATTTGTTCTATGTTTCCTATATTTAAGGGGGAAAGTAGGATTATCCGGATATGAGTTGTACTTGATCGTGAAAAGACACGTGTGCTTTCCTACATACACACATTGCCACTCATTTCCGCAAAGAGCACGTAACCGATCGTACGTATTATTTCTTGACTGTTGTATTTGTATTATTAAACGGCTCCCGTCATCATAAGTACAAAACTGTTACAAAGTACATGATAAAATTTTAACTGAATCTTTCACACATCATCATCAGGAAAATGAATATAGGAATAAAAAATAACTAATTATATAGTCTTTTGATGTGAGTATAAGGCAAAGAGTTTAAAGAAACAATTTTGTCAGTAGGAACAACGTGCCAGTAAAATAATCTATTGAGATTGCACTAAATATGTTATATAAACCAAAGAAAATAACTGATATACCCTACAGTCGACAACAAATGAAAACACTACTAGAATTAGCCGTTTGTGATGTACTATTTAGATTTATGAGTAAGTATTACATGCAATCTGATGGAGTAGCAATCGGTTCGCCATTTGCACCAATACTTGGAGACTATTTATGTCAAAACTCGAAACTAAGTTAAGCAGGTTTTCTACCAATAAACCATTACTGTGGCTTCGATACGTGGATGATATATTTCGCATATTCACAGACAAAACAGAATATTAATCATTTTTTTTCCTTCGTGTGTTGTTTTGTGAAGTAAACTCAAGGGGGAAAAAGCAGTTTCGGTATGTAACAGGTATTTTCGCTACTCTTCCAAGATGACTCACTTTTTTTTGCTTAAAAAGCTCATTTGAGAACTTCTTGAGATCGCAAAAATCAGCTTTCTAGGAGATCTCCAGAAATCCAGCTTTCTGTTCCCACAAGCAGAACAAGATGGTTCTATCTGTGGGAAAAGAACTCGCAGAACAGAACATAATTGCTTTTTTATCCTGTAAAAAATTTCCGAATAAAAGAACAGAATTGTTCTGTTTTGGGGAACAGGATTGTTCTGTTACACTACACACAAAAAACTTTCGTTACATCCCCCCAATGTCCGGCATCTACTCAGGTCCCTGCTAAACGGTGTTGGTTTAGAGGAAAGTGACGTCCTGTATTTGTTCTAGATTATTAGTGAAGTTCTATATAAATTCTATTTTCAAATCCTATATTTTCAGGAAGGGCCGGAAGCTCTTCACTGAAGTGAGTGTGTGCGTGTATTCTTGACTCAGACGACGTACAAAATAAAACTGGCATCAGAGCTACGTCAGACTGAAGTACCGACGTTCGCCAAGTTTAACATAACCCCTTCTATTTTTGCTTTTCTTTTTTATGTATCATTATGTATCTTTTTCTTACGATGAACCAGAAAAAAGATATATCATGATATATCATTGACTTTGAATAACACTCAGCGATATGTCAAGTATCATACATTGTATTCTAAAATAAAAAAGTATCATTTTCTTTAAAAGTTTTTGACTGGGATGCAAGTAAAATAGAAGAATGGTTATTCACGATTAAGCAGTTTTTTTATTTCGTGACATTTGGTCGACTATAATGACATCGTCAGTCAAAAGAAAAATACAGCCGTTTGTACATTTACTAAACATTTATCTTAGTCTGTATATTATACGAAATTCTTTTGACTAATGATGTCATCATAGTTGATGTAGACGACTATTCTTCTATTTATACCAAAATATTTTCATCGAAAAAATAAAAATAACTCAGTTACTAATACAAGTACTATTCATTTATTGAGTAAATGAATTTTTAAATGAGCAAACTGAATTAGTTGCTGATACTTTTTAATTTTAATTTATTCTATATAACTGAATTTATTAATTTACTGAGCAAACATAACTGACGTGAGCTGAACATTAAATTCTATACTGACAGTTTGATTTATTTACTGGTAATTTGTATATAATACTGAGAAAATCGTACTGAGCGTTTTCAAAAAAATACTGAGCATTTAATTTGTTCTCTCAATAAAACAGGTCGAAACGTTTGTTATTTAAATAAGTTTATGGAATCAAAGTATGGACTTGTAGCTCAATGAATCTATTTTTCTCTGGCCAAGAGCACTTTTAAGAAAGTGTAAGGTTATATTCGGAATCAACGCGTCGAGTTAGACCGAATCATGAATAAAACAATAAGTTTTGAATCGAATCGATCAAAATTTTTTATCTTGAACCAGCAAGATCGTTTTTTCGAAAAAGATATTTTTAAAGCGTTTATTTTTCCTTGAAGAGCATCAGAAATGGTCAAGCAATAATAATTATTCATTAAAAAATGGTTTACAAACAAAAAATTCTGATGCCCACCTGCCATTAGAAAAATGTCCACTATGTATACATGAGCAGGTGTTGTGATTTGATATAATAAATGACTATCCATGGACACAAAAGCAAAAAAGTTAGTCTCAATTCAGATGATATAGAACTCTTTTTATAATTCATAAAATCAAATGATAAAAATAGACAATCAGATCGATGTGATCGGCTGTTGTTTTGAAACAAACTCAATTGAAATAGTTTGTTGTTTTATTGTTGTTATTGATGACTGAAGATGTTCTGACAATGAGGAACAACATTGACTTGAAGATTGTGGTAAACTAATACGTCTGCTATTCTCATTCATAATAATTAGTGAAGTTTTTGCATTACATGGAATAACAGACAGTTCAGGCTTAACTTGTTGACTACCTTCAAAAATATGATTTTGTTTTTCAATGAAGATATTTGGTGGACAACAAGAAATCGAACATGTACATAAATTTTGTGTGAATAATGAACGAGAAAGTGGACAAAATAGAATAAGACATAGAATAGGTTTAAAGCTGGCACCACCAATTAATAACTGGGCAAACAGATAACCAGAAAATGTAACTGAATTTACAGCATGAGATAAACTATAATCGACAATAATTTCAAAAGCTCGAAGCATATAAAATGGTAACGATGTCATAGTAGATAAGAAAAATGTATATAAAACATATAAACATATTTGACGTTCATGATCTGATGCTCTCAATCGATTTTGACACGATAGACGACATTGTAACCATATTTCCAAACATAAGCCTACAGAGAAAAAAATTTTTTTTTTTTCTGCAATGTTTTGTCAACGTGAGAAAGAGAGAAAGAAAAAGGATATTTACCTAATAGGTGTAGTAAAAATAATAGTAAAAAATCTGCATG